CCCCGCCCCGCCCGAGCCGTCCCTCCTCACCGCACGGCCCACCGGCCCCGTGTTTGACGGGCGTGTCGGCGTGCGTTTGACGTGGGACGCGGCCGCCCGCACCGTCCGTCTGTCCCGACGCTATCGCCCTGGCTGGCCGCTCCGGTTTGACGTTCGGTGCACGAGGAGCAGGGTCACGGGGTGGTGCAGCACCCCACCGCCGCCGCTGCTGCCGCTGTCTCGCCCTATTTCGGCCTCTCCAATTTCTCGTGCCGCGGAGAGCCTCTCTCTCTCCTATCCCCCGCTTCCCCCACCCCCCGCTCGGCTTGGCTGCCGTCGCTCGGCTTCGTCGCTGCACTAATTAACAGGCTACCAGGAGGCGGAGGGCGGCGGGGCGGGGCGCGTCTTCACGTGGTGAGAGCACACATTGCCGAGATGATGGCTTTTCGCAACTCCGCGCCGAGCTGTTCGTACTTACAGTCCCCCGCTCCCTCCCGCTCCCGCTCCCTGCGGCTCCCTCCTCACCGCCGCCTGCCTCTTCTCATTACCACCAGCCCTTGCTGTGCTTTAGCGGGAGCGAGCGGGAGCCACGCGGCCCTACAGACTGTACCCCAGCCACCTTCCCCGAAAAGCTGCTCCCGCGGACACCTCCCAAAGCTGCTGCTCCCGGAACCGCTCTCCGAAGCCGCTCCCGGAACCGCTTTCCCAAGCTGCTCCGAGGGCTTCCTCTCTGCCGGAGGGCCCCAGCGGCAGCGGCCCCCGCTACGTTAGGCCTACCCACGGAAAAAAAGTTGTCGAGGTTCGAGTCTCATTTTAAAGAACACACCTTGCCATGAATTTTAGTCATAGTCCGAGCTCTGTACGACGAAAGATGGCCGGGCGCCGGGCTCTTTTCGGTTCGGCCCCTCGTGGCGCTCGGAGCGCCTCGCCATGTTGCGGGCCTCCTCTCGCACGGCACGCGAGGCCGGCGGAGACGACTCGGTGCCGAGGTGATTCCCTATGGTGTCTACTTTCGGCGGATAACTTATAACCCACGATCGGCGCAACCGTGTCGCCTCCAGGGGCCTAAGTCTCGAAAACCACGCTACTCGAATCTGACGGAAAACTATCGAAAATAAGTGGGGGTTTCTTAGTATCGTTGTGTGGGCCAAACCAAGACCTTTCGATTCCAGGTGGTCCTGCCACTAAGACGCTACGCGTCTAGGCGTGAGCGCCGAAAGAGTGCCGACAGCGGAACGGCGGCCGTTTGAACAGAGAGCGCGCGGCGCGCTGCACCGAGCCCGGAGGGGAAGGCAAGTCGTGGTGGGGGAACCGGGCCGGGCGGGGCGGAGGCCGGCGTGCCTTTCCCGCCTCCGCCGAAGTTTGCAAACACAAATCTTTTATTGGCTGAGTGCAAACTAAACTAAACTATACAATATAGTACTATACTATACTATACTATCTAACGAAGCCAACATATTGATCGGAAAAATCGCCGCAATAGGTTGGTGCCAACCTAACAGTGAATACAAAAAAAAATGTGTTGAAACAAATGCAGTTTTATTTGTCTGAGTTTGCCTAACTAACGCTTACATTTTATCTAAAGGTTTAGTTAAATATAGAGTCCTTTTAAAGCGATGGGTTCAGTTTTGGGG